CAAAACATTCTGTTTTCCCGGCTTATGCTTCACCTCGAAGTTATACTCCGCTAAAAAGGAGAGCCAACGAGCCATTCTCTGTGAGAGATGAGGCGACTGTGTCGCTGTGCGTAACGACGCATGATCTGTATAGACCACAAACGTCTTTGAGCCCAACAGGTGCATCCTGAACTTAACAAGGGCATACTTCATCGCAAGTAGCTCCTTGTCATGAACTGGATATTTCTTCGCTGCAGATTCCATCTGACGAGACTCAAACGCGATGACGCGTTCTCGACCCTCAGCGTCTACATGCAAGAGAGCACTGCCATTGACAATGTCCGAAGCGTCACATACGACGCTAAACGAGCGATCAGGATCAGGCAAAGCCAGAATTGGCGCCTGAAGGGGACTCTCCTAATGGCTTCAAAAGACTCGTGGTGTTCGGTGTTCCAACGCCATTCCACATCCTTTTAACGAGATTGGACAATGGCCTAGCCACTTCCGCATAATTGTGGCTATACTTATGCAAGTAATTTGCCAAACCCAACCACTTGCGGAGGTCCTTCTGGATCCTCGGTACCGGCCAATCCACTATGGCTTTGACCTTAACAGGGTCTGCCCGGATTCCTCGCTTCCCAATGAAGCATCCCAAAAAGGGAATCTCTTCCGCACCAAAGATGCATTTGTCAACATTGGCATATAACCTATACATCCTCATGCAACCGAGCACAGCTCGCAGTGCTCGATGTGATTTTCCACATCAGTCTTGCCATTTTTGGCTCGACTATGAACGAATATATCGTCAAAGTATGTCTGTGCGTACGCCCTATGGGGCCCAAACAACTGCGTCACTAGATGATTGAACGTTGCAGGTGCGTTAGATAGCCCTTGGGGCATCACTAACCACTCCCAGAGCATACCGCTCGGATACTGACCGCTGTCAGCGGGATAACACTAGCTCGCATGAGCAGTTGGTAATATCCATCGACTAAGTCGAGGGCACTGTACATCGTACATTCCACCATATTGTTCTGAAAAACATCCTTGCGAGGAATCGGTGTTTGGGCCGGGATAGTGGCTGCATTCAGCTCATTGTAAGCATGCACCATTCGCCACTTCCCATTAGGCTTTTCTCACACAAAACGTGGGCGTAGAGTGAGGAGACCTACTCTCACGCACCATGCCAGCCGCGTGCTTTGCACAAAAAACTCGTCAATGACGTCACATTGTTCTCGTGGCAGCGGCCACTGTCACGTCACACAGTATTTGGTTCCTGTAACCAAGTCAATTTCATGACGTACACCTCTATCCGGAGGTAACCTCATCGGAGGTTCTCTGGAGACAACATCTCCATATTCCTTTAACAAAGGAAAATAAGGATCCGAAGGGTCCTTCAGGATCTGTGATCCACTGCGCACATTCAGCGCCTTCTTGGTATCTCAAGAACTGCTTTATCCAAAAGCGGTGAGGTGTTCAACTCCTCCTCAGGTCGTATAACGACCACTTCGGCGATGTCGCCTGCCTGTAAGACAATGCCAAACTCAGCAAAGGACAACTCGTCTAGCTCTAACAGAGCACTTACTGCGGGTACAGCTGAATGGGCCGCCAGATCTTCAACATCCCCAGTCAAACCATTGACGAGTATATATAGCTGTTTGCTATCACCGTCACTCACGACATCATCATCATCGCTACTCATGATGCTCTCAGCATCCGACGCATCAGCGTCCACATTGTAAACACCTCAGGGTCAAAGACCACATCGTTTGCTGACTGCACCCCACCCTCTTAGACCAATGCCTTGTCATGAAATGCTTGCACCTCGCTCTTTGTCCTCAAAATCAACCGTCATTTTTGAATTCACCCGACCCTCTTGGGCCAGTACCTCGTCGTTAGGTGCGTGCGCCTCGCTGACCTCAAAGACAACATCCATTGATGACTTCACCCGACTCTCCTGGGTCAGTTCCTCGTCACTCATGTCACTTGGGCTCATTGACATCTTGGCTTGCAGCCACCAATACCACTCACAATGTTTAATGATGTAGCATCATTCTCATGACACATGTCATATGTGCCATCAAGTGGGTTCTCAACCATACTATCGACAGTCATTGGGCCTCGCCCAGGACTATTGTCCTCGACATTTACAGTGTCTACAAAGTCGGATAGCCCGACATCCAACATATTGACCGGCTCGGTCCAATATCCACGCCAAAGCGCTTTTGCTTCCTAGCAGAGGTGGGTTCATGACTCTCCAGAGCCCGACCAGGAGCATTGTGCATTGCGCCTAAGGTCTTCAATCTCTAATCAATCCATGGCTCATGGCGTTTTAGCCAGGCCATGCCTAGGATGAGGTCATACCTCGCATCCAGGTCTAAGACCAAACAGCGTTCTATGCTGTTAAAGTCCAAGAACTTTACATGTAAGTCCATCGAGACTTTGGGTACCGTAACACGCGTACCCGTCGCTAAGCGAACTGTGAATGTGACACTTTCACGCGCTACAAGCGCTTCAGCATATTGCTGACTACCTTCCACGGTGGCACGGCGCACATAATTGCCCAATGCCCCCGAATTGATCAAAATGATCCATGGCTTATCATAGCTTTTAACCGGCCCTTCGACGACCAACAAGCCTGGCTTGCATCCCCGTTCCGTTTTTGAGAGTTCGGATCTCTTTGAGACTGGGCCCTATTTACTTCTACCTCCAAGAGGTTCAACAAAGCTCAGTTCTTCCCCAATAGAGCGCCCCACGCCTACTGGGTAACGCCGTTTCCACGCGGCAAACCAGAAGGTTTACCCATGGGGCGTCGGCCCTATGAGGCCAAATATGCCTTTCTTGCAAGACATTTTGCCATCAAAAGACCTTTGCTCTTGCAGATATAACATCTGCGCACAATTTGCTGCTCCGCAGCTTGAAGCTCAGCTTCTTCATCCTCCACTTGACTACAGTCCATGGTTACAGACCCATCAGACGAGTAGTTATAAGTGGCAGGCCTAGCGGCCTTAAATTTGGTCTCGGCATTCCATGCCACTCCAACAGCTTCTTCAAATGATGACGGGTTTACCCGGAAGACTTCCGTTCTGGCAACTCCAACTCAGAGGCCCTCCATGAAGTCCGTGACGGTCACTGCCTCAGGCATAGGGACTATGACCTGGCAGCAATGAGAGTTCTCAACTCTTGTACATATGCTGCAAGCTCACGCTTGCCTTGGCGACACGCCAAAAACCGCGACCAATTACGGTGTGCTTGGTTTGGCGGTGCATACTGCCGGGTCATCTGAACTTTCAGCTCGCCCCATGTTGGAAAAGCATCTTGCAGTGATGCACCGCATGTGAATGCCCACTGTTTGGCTAATCCACCCAATTTGCCCGTGGCAAAGCCCATAAATGATGTCGGCTATAAACACAGCCGACTCAACCTATCGGAACCAAAGCATAAGATTATCATCTTCTTTGCGTCGAACTTATCGACTTCCATTTGTATGGGTTTTGGTCTGCGGACCACTTCTTGTGCCATAGCCGCCATGGGCGAAGACGCAGAAGAAGGCATCTGTGCCTCTACATGCTCGACTAGAGCTTTATTATACTCATCAAGCATATGAATACGCTTGTTAACCTCTTCGTCGCCTTGGGCAATGAGGTACTCCATACCCTTAGGGCCAGGGATTTGGAGCAGCTTCTGCAACCCTTCCTGTTGTGCCTGTGACAGGCCAACCGCTGACATCTCATCAATGTCCATCCTCACACAGAGAAGAAGTCGCAAACCCAGGTGCGAGATTGACTACAAGTGCTACCAGTTGTAGCCAAGCTACTGTAGCTAAGCTACTGTAGCTAAGCTACTTATGCACTACGTGCAGAGGAAGACAAGCTCAGAGAGTCTATACGTCTTAAAGTGCTTAACTTTTACAAGGCTAGCTTTACAAGCTTATGCCTTTTGGTTGTGAACAACCGTGTCTCCAAAAGACCAGTATCAAAGATACAATTCCTTACAAAAGGAATAGAACGCTCTAGCAACTAATGCTATACAGAGCAGGTTTGAAACTGATTTATATTTATGTTTATCTTCTAGCACTAAATATAGAAGCACCTACTCTATACTTAGTGCTAATCACTATTTACTGGCTCTGTAGCCTGTTGTTATTATGCAAACATGCATAGTCACTTAACTGAACTAAGTAATAGTGACCACGTGACGATGTGACCCTTCGTACCTTAGGTACGGTCACATCTTTTTTAAAATTTTTTTTTTTTTAGATGTGAAAATTTTTTTTCCAAGGCCCGAAACACGCACCTGATTTTGTACCCAAAGTACAGCCACACCACATTGGTGTGGCAGGTGTGTATGTAAAATACACACGTCGCAGGTGGGTCGGTAGTGAGACGTTGGCGATAGCAATTGGCGTATTATAAAGGAATGATGAAATCAACTTTCGAGGAGAAAGATGTGTCGGATTACGCTACGGGAGACAAGTTTCTTGCAGCTAACGCGAGCACAAGTGAAAGCGTTTTGCGGAGCGCAAGTAACGATCAAGAAGCTGCTTGTGCTTCCTTGTTGATGGATTGGGTCAACGAGTGATGACGAAAGCAACTGGCACCGTGAAGTGGAAGTACCTACTGGCAACTGTAAAGCGCATATTACATTGTATTACGTATCATGTGTAGTAGACGGCAAATTCCAATCGCAACTTGATGGATCAAGCGACTGTTACGTACGCCTTGCACCTACGCTCTCGTGGCACCAGTCGTAAACTCAAGTTGGTGCTTATGTACAGGACAAAAACAGCATGGCCAAAAGCAAATTTTCAAGACGACTAAACATTCCTATGAACAAGTACACTGATCGCTTATTGTATCAACATTCACCCATACTTTCAAAAGTAAATGACATTTCGTTTCAGCATTGTTCGCTTTTGTTATGTTTTCCTAACCAGAAAGTGTCAAATAACGACTTCAACTTGATTGCCGCACATGTCACGTGCGTTTTTCCTGCTTTGGAAGCCGTCCGATCTGCTTGTTTTAGTATGCACCGTGACTCACATTATTAAACATTCCTGATGCCGCGCCGTTGGTCACCTCGTTGCCTTCGATTTCGATAGAAACGACAAAGTCGTTAGGCTTGGAGCCGTCCGGCAGTGGTACACCCCAATCGCATTCATGTTCGATGCCAAGGTTGTTGTGATGCATTTGCATGCGAAACCAGCCATTCTCACCCCAGTATGTCCCCCATGAGTTTCGTCCGATCCCTAGAATGCAATAAAACAAATTAAAGCTGTTTACAGAGAGACGAAAGCAGAAAAATACTGACGCTACTTACAGTATTCGGTGTCCGTTTCCTCATCGTAGCCCCAACCAGCCACCGAAATTTCATGGTTGATAAAGGGAAACATGACGTGCTCGGAATAGATGCCACCCGTATACGCCTCAAACTTTTTAGTGGCGTGCACACCACACCCAATGGGGCCACGCTTGTAGATCTCCGCCTTCATATAGTTAACACCACTCACAGACCCATACTCGGAAACAAAATACTTTTTTAAACTTCTTCACAGGTTCGCATACACTAGAAGACAACAACTCCTTGGACGGCCAGCAGCTGAATGAATACGAAACGGCATTAAATTTTAAGTTACTTACATCACTGCGTAGCATTTGCCAAACAGCTTACGTTTCACAGATCGCGAATTGGTCGCACCGAAGGTTCGTCGCCTGGTAGGCTTGACACGTTTGGTCAGGGATACCATGACGATGTGCATACTCATACACTAAACCAGGGTTACCGCCATTACAAGTGCCGCCAGCGTGGCAATTGATGAGAACCTGAGGTGACAACGCAATTTCTGGCCATGAAGCTACATCCGCCAGACACGACATCAGTTAGCACAAAGCAGCATCATCCGCCATCAAACATTTCGTACCATTTCTCATAATTGAGATGCGATCGGACAGAGCGCTGGTTGTTCCCTGAGCCCAGCAGCTTCCGCAATACTTTGGAATGTGCTGGTTTTTGTCCCACGTAACATAGTTCTTACCATCGACATCACGCCAGTCCCAAGTCTTTGGAAGGTCATTAAGGTCCATTGTCTCATAAGGCCGCTTTGAAATCACACGCTCGCCACCAGCAAAATGCAACTTCTGGCGACAGCCTCCAAGCGTCGATTTTACTGACTCATTCTCTTCGACATTGTTTAGTACACCTTCCTCGTCCTCTTGTCGACTCTCGTCGTCTTCAATAGCAGTAGGCGTTGGCCACCCACCATCTTTTGGCACCCCGAACGCACACTCTCCTTCGACACCAATGTTATTTACTCCCCGTATAAGTCGCATCCATCCATCTTCGCCCCAGAAGCTTCCCCAACTATTGCGTACGACCCAAAAAGGCACGCTATCTTCTTCCCCCCCACCCGACAATCGAAATAGCGTGATCCACGTCCGTAGCATTCGTCTTGTCATCAAAGATGCCTCCCGAGTACTCGAGAAACTCGTCCGTAACGGCGACACTGCATGCAATAGGTCCACGAGCATAAATTTCCGCCATCATCTCTTGCTCTCCAAGCGTCGTACCGTACTCTGAAACATAGTACTTGTCGTAGGTTTTTTGTGGAAAGCAGCCAGTGGATGGCAAACAATTTTCACACACGTCCCTGGCCGTGCATGTATTTCCTGTATCGTGTCCTTTAGCTGCATACCGTTGGCAGCCTTCCTCGGGGACACCATTTTCTTTGATATAGCGATAAGCTTCTAGTTGATCACCACCATTGCAGCCATTGTCTTTTTTGTCACAGTTAAGCAAAACCTGTGGAGACAATACTACCTCTCGATGCACTTGAACAGCTGTTTGATTGCGTTCATTAAAAGCTTTCGCAATCAGAACACGATCTGCCAAAGCTGATGTTGCAGCTACAAATTGATTTGTATATATCAAATGTTAGAGTCAGTATTAATTGTCAGAGGGTTCGCATGAAAGTAGCTTCAAGAGGGAAGACGCACCAAAGGACCAACACGAGCCACAATAATGAGGAATGTGCTGATTACGAGAGATTGTCACGTATCGTGTGCCATTCACATTGCGCCAGTCAAAGTTCTTGGGTAATTTTGATACGTCTAGGGCATCATGTGGACGCGGAGACGTAAGCAACACGGAACGATCTGGATTGCGTACGTATCCATAGTTTCGTTTGCGCATAAGTTCTTGTACAAACGCAGAGACTGTACGTACTGGCGCAGCAGCCACAAGAAGAAGAAGAAGGAAAAAAGATCTCCACATTTTCTATCGCTTTAGCTAATGACGACGTTCGAGATAAAGAGTGAAGTAACACGTTTACGATAGAGAAACTCAATCCTTATTATCGGTTTGGGAAGGGTTAGCTTGGCATTCAGATCTTACTGTAACAGGGTTACACATACCCAGTGTGCTTTAGGGTACGTTGCGATGCTCCCAGTTTAATGTATACCGCATTATTATCGGTTTCAAACACGAAAGATAAGGCAAATAGCATCCATGGCGCTATCACGTTCCTCGTTTCCTGCTACTCATGAGTCCGTAGACTTGGAATGTGGAGTAACTGCTAGTCATCACGTGTCTAGTCGTCGCCAGGACGAGCTTGATCTTATTTTATCTCTTGACTCGCAAGAATTACGTCGTCATGAAGCTTGGTTCCTAGTCGAGACCAAGTGGCTTGATGCCTGGATGAGTTACGTGCTTGGAGACGATAATGATGGCGTCATTGCTCGTAAACAACCAGGTCCTTTAACTAATGAGACTTTATTTGATTATGAAAAATTTTGTATTAAGAGTAATTTGCAACAAACAAAGGATTATCGAGGTGTGAATTCTCAAGTGTACGCGCTGTATGCAGAATTATATGGAACTAATGACACGAGACCAATTGTCCGTTGGACACTTGATATTTATGCAGTACCAGTCATGGTTGACGATGTTAAAGACATGCTGCATGTACCGAGATTAAAAGCTCGAGCTTTAGTTTTAGAATTAAACGAGAGACGTGAGATGATGGATAAAGGATTAATTAACGGACTCAAGAAACATGAAGAAAAGGAAAGCTGGGGATATCGATGTCTATGTCGCTGTGAGTTTCTAGTGCCCTGTCTTTATCGGATGCTAGGAGGAGGACCGACCTACGAGAAGGAGAAACAGATCAAGTGGAGCGACTACTTGTACTGTTGTGAGAAGACGAACAAGAAGAAAAAGAAGAGGAGACGCGGTGAGAAAACACGAGCGATAATCAATGACTATGCGGAAGAAGATAGACGCAGTACTGAGTCTTCGACCAGTAGTGACGAAGAGACCCATGAACTATTGGGTTGAGCGAGTGCTTGTCTAGTTTTGGCTGAGGTGATGTGGTACATTTAATCTCGTATTCTCGTCCATTAAGTTTTTTGTGTGCTCTAAGGAACGATGAAGCGGTGCTAGAGCTGTATTGTTGTGATAACGTGTGTTTGAGCGAAGTTTGCTGGGCGTAGCTTATTGCGTTTTCTGTCTCCCGTTTCGGAGGTTGCGAGTGCACTGCAGAGATATCATTAAATTTTCCCTCGGCTGCTTTTACTAAGGGAGGAAATGGCTAGACGTGGTTTTGCCCATCATCCAGCTGTCAGAGCAGAAGCTGAACTATCATTGTCAAGTAGTCTTTAAACAGAAAACGAGTCAAACAGTGCACCGACAGAGCCTGTAGCAAATGATGAGCAAAAAATTAGTTGCAAGCTGGCATTCCAAGATGCATGTTGAGGCGATAATAGCGCGTGGCGAGTTCTTGGGTGTACAGTACAGGTACTGCTGTCAGTGACGGGAATACAGGCGACTTGGATTTGGAGCGGGTTGAGTAAGTCATTGACACTTACTATGTTACATAGCTTGACAGTAATGCATGGCTACTCAAGGGTTTAATATGGCAGTGCATTACAGCTTTTATACAACGCCGCAAGGGCGAATTGATGTATTTAAATTTATCTTCGGTTCAAGCTTCACCGGCAACACGATCACTTTGTGACTGCATCTCGTTGTAGATCAGACAAGTCAACCGCTGTGGACAAATTGCGATAATGCAATTCTGCTGCAAGCATGACAATTTTGTGTAAACCCTGTCCGTTTCACCGAAGCCTTCGATACTGTTGGCAGTAACTGACTACATATGTGCTTGGAAAGATTGGAGAGAAGCTACTTCTGTGCATGTGTATGGATGGAGGAAGAAGAAGAACGAGAGGAGGTTTCTGGCGTTCGAATACGGTTGCGGCCACCTGGGTGCTGGATCATATCAAACCGATTTTGTTGCTGGCGTAGAAGGCTGCTTTACCTACACATATGCAAAAAGTCTTGACTTCAGCAGTGGACGACTCCTCGTGGCAGCAGCTAGATAGATGTGAGTGTGGATTTCGCAGCACCAGACAAGTCTAGCATAAAACCAGAACTGTGCCGAATGCGTTACTGATTCGGGTTGTTGTTGAATCCAAAGTCCTAGCTTCGAAGTAATTGTGAAGCAGTGAATGTTCACGTATCTATGACCACGATGTCTGTATCTTAATTCGCGATTATATTCCTCTTTTTGTTCTTCTTCAAGCAAATCCAGATATAGGATTTCAATCAAAATGCTGAAGATTTAGCTACATGTTTACATGGACAAAGTACGCAAACATTGTTCCATTGTTCAAGTATACTAATGTCTTTTAGGTTATGAAATGTCATCGACAGAGAGACATTCATTGAATAAAAACTTTTGCGGCAATTGCATGAATCCCATCAAGTGCGTCATTACCAGAAGGAACTAACAATGAATATAGTCGTGGCCCTTTGGTCTTGTCATTCAAACCTTTCGGCCCAAGCCATTCTTAGCTACAAACATACACTCGCAATGAAGTCTGTTCATGCGTGATAAAACGCTTATCCAGGCAAACAAGACACAAGAGACTAACGATACGTGTAAAAGTGTCTTTGGAGTATGCTTGTTGTAATACTCTTCGCACTGCACTTTGATATAGCGGTACAAAGCTTTGTGTGCATTTGGTCTTCGAATGATAGACTCAATGCTTCATACGATTGTTCCCGCTGGTCTTGTAGCATTTCATCTTCTAAGGCTTTCAAAGCAGCTGCGGCGTGCTGCAAGAGATTGCGATGCTTAAGCCCATGCCCATGAAAAGTTACGACTGGCGTCAAAGTATGTTCGATAAGTTCCAAAAATATTTGCTGACCTAAAAAGCTCAGCTCCATGATGAGCAGAGTTTACATAACCTAGCAGATGCACTGAGAGGCATTGGACGTTAAAGTGTTAACCAGAGCAAGCTGAGCCATCAGCATTTTTTGGTGCTTTGTAAAGAGGAAAAAGAATTTACTCACGCTGCTCTAAATAGATAGAATAAAGGCACTTACGGTCGAGGAGACAGCATTGTCTTGACAGAAAACATAGTTAATCTTTACACTGCGGCGACTGATTTGCGTTCGTGATTCTTTTGATTCCTGGCGCAAACGCCGATTACGAAGGCATTCATGCTCAAAAAATTACTGCTTGCTGCTCGACGTAGTCGATGGCCTTGACGTGAGCTCATTTTGATGACCGGTCCACATCTTCGTTGCAAGAATGCTCCGACTGAGTAGTGCTTCTTACTGAACTTGCTCGTGATACCAAACGCTGAGATTTCTTCTCTTTCGTCCTACCATTCAAAACAAGTGCAGGTAGCAAGTTTACAAACTAAGTTTTATCAGACAAGCGTGCAAAATGCACCTCAGCTTCCTCGCACTCGACCACACAATACTATTGGATTGCCTCAAAGTCACGATCAATTCGAAAAAATAGTAGTACAGCGCTCACAAAATTGGTCTTTCAGTAATGATACTACCACATGGTGTCTCCAATTTTACACCGTCAACAATTGTCAGCGCCGAAAGAATGCTCTGTTGCAATGGTAACGAAAGCACAAAACAAGACACACAAGCGACTCGTGCTAGTGTTCTAACACAAGACTCGCCCGAACGTGGCGGTCCAGGCTGAATAGATTGATTTACGCAAAGTGCGCTAGACAAATTCCGTTCGCCTATTACTGCTCGGCTGCACCTGATGCTACAAGATAGAATGCAAAACGTGTTTATCGACGGTTTATAGTGACCCCAGTATAATCGTGGATACCAGCTTACCACTACGTACTTGTGACAATAGGAGTTAAGCAGTAGCGTCCAAAAAGATCTGAATTGTCTAATAGAAAAATCTTCACCTGCTGCGGATCTTACTAACGATACAAAGGAGTGTTGCTTAGCCGATGGACCTTAGGGTGGACTTAGCTGGGAAAATTGTTTATTCAATAGGCTAATACTTAGCTATAAAAATATAGAATTGCCGGTAGAGACAGAAGTAGCGTAAAGATAAAATATAAACAAACACACCGCCCCCGTGGGGGTAGCCAGCTTGCTGGTGAGGTAGAGTTCAACTCTCTAGGCGGTGACCGTGCCTTCGGGCATTTGGAGGTTGAGATGCGACGCACCTTGATCTCCCGTGAGGCCGTAAGGCTGTTGAGGCGGGTTAACTTGCCGGGGTTTAAAGACAAGCCAAAAGGACAAGGAAACCCGCACCGTGAAGCAGAGCCTCCGACCTGATGGAGAAGAGTCCTTTGGGATCTTCGTCGTGACAGACAACATGGGTCAGTAGGAGGTGTCGAAGCACGGAGTTTGAACGAGGCGAAAACGAGGGATGGACTTGGTCTTGCGGGGCAGCAGAGCTGGTGCGGCGGCATCTTGGCTCGTATGTCACCGTGGGCGAAAGGCTTGATCTCAGGAAGTAGCAGCGGGGACACCTTGGGTAGGAAGTGAAATCTTGTGAACATGGGCTGGCAGGCCCGAGGGCGCTTGAGAGTAGCGGACTCAATGGTCAACCGAAAGCGAGGGAAGCGTGCCATCGGCGGTATCGGCAAACGGAAAGCCCTGGGGACGGGAGTAGTACGGATGTCGATGGCGAAGATGAAACGCGACCTTCAATTTCACCTTTGCGTAGTTGGAAGCAGGGACGAGGGGACCATCCATCCTTTAAAGCCTTGTGGAAGACGACGTAAAGACTTTCAGGCGTGCCTGAAGTGTAGCCTTGAGCTACGATTAGCCACATGGCTTGGAAGAGTGATGATACGTGTTGTTCACTGAAAAGTGATTACCTGCGGCCCAATTCCGCTTAAAAAACACGAGGAAACACGATTCGAATCCATGTTAGCGGGGTATGTGCGGTACGCAGCAAGCTGGTGGAAAGGCGGGCTGACGGCGCCATACCTGATCCGACTTAATTGTCGGACCTCGGGCCCGGGAAAGGGTCCAACCCGGTTCAACTTGGAGCCGCCTTGACGTGGCGGACCGGCTTTCAACCAAGAGCTCCAAACACCAGTAACTGCAAGGAAAACCAAGGCGTAGATAGAATCCAGAGTATAGTAGAAAGCCATAGTAAGCAGAAGTAGGGTTGCAATAGTAGAGATAGATAGTAATAACCATGCTAATCGAACAATTGAACACTTCATCCACAAATATCTTGAAGATATGTTTCGTGACGAGGTAATGTAAATGGGCTAGAGATCGCATAGCATGAAAAGCGTAGAACTCAAGCAGTAGCAATCCAAAACCATAGGAACAGTAGAAAGAGAGGGCGCAACCATAGAGGTAGGCTAGTGACCGCATAGCGAATATAGCGTGACCCAACCATCAGCAATCCGAAACCATAGTAACAGTAGAATGCGAGAACGTATCCATAGAGAAAGTAGATGAAGTATCCAAAACAAGGCGCAAGAGGCCTTGCCATTGCTTCCGTTCCGCATAGGACCTCAAAGTGCGTAAGTGTAGATCCACATAGGCAAAACAGTGATGACTGACAAAGGCGGCATTCGTACTAGTCCCGGGGTTGTAGAGTCTTTTGTTGCGATGAAGCCAAAGAGACCGGAGAACACAGCATCGAACAACATGGAAGACGATCAGAATCGCACGATTCCCAAAAAACCATGATGGCAGACGGAAGGATACGTAGCGAAGCAGGAAACAGAATATGAATCCACGAGACGTCGCCATCTAAACAGTCTCGAAAAGGCTGCAAGAAAAAATTCCATTGATACTTGGCGACAGGGCAAAGCCAAAAGAGATGAATAGCGGTTTCCATGGCGTCACAATCATGAATGCAAGACGAAGATGTGGTAATCTCTGTACGCCAGCGAAACTTGTACCGGAATCCCAGCGCGTTGTGTTGAAGACGGAATTTAACATCGGCGGCGACTGGAAGAACATGACGATCAAGACCATACTCCAAGATCCACAATCCAGACGAAGGTAAATACTCGGGAACACCAAGTTGATGTAGA